ATGTTCAGGATCCAGTAAAATCTGGGCTAAAGTAGAGATTAGCTATGCTTTCAGAAGTGTACTTGGCATAATTCAAAACATTATATACAGGGGATCTTAAAAATCCCTGAGCTAGTCATCCTGTTATAACCAAGCTAATTGGGAACTCTATGATAATGGCTCACTTCAGCATATCTGATCTTTAAATCTTTGTAAGAACTGTATCTAGCTGGTCTTCTGGTGGAACAACGCTTTTCTGGGTGGAAAATACAGAAAACTTAATCCAAGCTAAACTTTGTAGTGCACCTGGTCTCTGGCCTAGAACTGGCCGACAGCATAGCTGAAATCTCCCAACAGACCTTTCTTGGCTTTGGCGTGGTATTTTCGAGCAAGGTGTTAAGAGGTAGTCTGAAAAATTATTCCATGAATCATTTTCAACTGAAAGAACAGTGTGATTTGTGTACAGAACCAAAAACCTCTTCCTTTGTTACCACTCCAGTCAAAAGATGTTGATAATGCAGTAAGTTTATAGTAAAATGGGGCACAAATGTTCTGTGGAGCCTCAATGTACTCAGTATTTTTTAACCTATGATGTGCTGGATCCTCTAGACCCCCTTACTCTAGAATGTGCATGTTTCGAGCTGATTTCCTAGTGGCTAACCTAGTGGCTTTCTATGATGGTGTGACAACAGTGCACAAGGGAAAACTAATGGATGTTATCTATCTGGACTTCTGCAAAGCCTTTGATGATGGTCCCCCACAAACATCCTTCTCTCTAAATTGGAGAGCTATGGATTTGATGGGTGGACTGTTCGGTGGATAAGCAATTGGTTGGATGGTCATAGCCAGAGGGTAGTGGTCAACAGCTCAATGTCCGGATGGAGACCAGTGACGAGTGGTGTCCCTCAGGGATCCGTACTGGAACTGGTGCTGTTTAATGTTTTCATCAATGACTTAGACAGCGAGATTGAGTGCACCCTCAGCAAGTTTGCAGGTGACACCAAGCTGAGTGGTGCGGTTGACACACCAGAAGGAAGGGATGTCATCCAGCGAGACCTGGACAGGCTGGAGAGGTGGGCCTGTGTGAACCTCATGAGGTTCAACAAGGCCAAGTGCAAGGTCATGCACCTGAGTTGGGGTAACCCCCAGTATCAGTGCAGGCCGGGGGAAGAAAGAATCATAGAATCATAGAATGTTTAGGGTTGGAAGGGACGCCTAGAGGTCATCTAGTCCAACCCCCCTGCAGTGAGCAGGGACGCCGCTAACTAGATCAGGCTGCTCAGAGCCCCATCCAACCTGGCCTTGAATGTTTCCAGGGATGGGGCCTCCACCACCTCCCTGGGCAACCTGTTCCAATGTTT